AGGAACTAATTGGCTATCAAAACCACCAAAAATGGGATTACTAATAAAAGCTTCCTCTACAAACAAATTCTAGATCCAAAATTAATGAAAATTCAGAACAAAAATTGCATCAAACATCACAGCTATAACAACATTCAATGTATTGAGAACTTTCACATAAAAGCATGAACTGTTACAAGACAAAGAGCAGCTTACTTAGTTATGTGGAGGTCCCAAATATTAAGAGTTGACACATCTTTGCAACGGCCTTCCTCCAAGTCGAGGCCAACTTTGGTATTTCCTGATGCATGTTCAGCATATAGAGAAGATATGATCTCCATTGCATTAAGCCCAGCATTTTCAGCTAGCGTTTTAGGCACCATCTCAAAGCTTTCGGCAAATTTTGCTATAGCATACTGATCCAATCTGCAAAACCATTGTTTCTTTAGTAGGTTATTGCACTACTGCCCAATCAGAAATCTATGACTGGGAAAATGGTTACAAAATCAAGTTCCAATAGTTGGTCTAGACATCAATATTTTATTTTATGTTTCAGGGACAACATCTTGAGAAAATAATAATTCACGCCATTTACCATGTTTCTGTAAAAGAGAATTCCTTTACTCTCTTAGCTAACTCAATTTCAGTAGCTGCCGCTCCAGGAACAATGCGGCTATCCTTGCACATTGCCTGAAAATGAAATGCATTACGACAGTAAGATATTAATTCCAACGGTTTGGACATCTGATTAAACAATTTATTCAAAAGTTCCAGAGAACCATATGCTAACAATGATTGAAGAGGTAAAACAAAACCAGCCTAACAAGAACATACAAAATTCTCAGTCTCAAATGTGGACTGTGGACCATTGACAATCTGCAAAATTTGATTATAAGCATGTAGATTCCAGAAGTCGTTTTTGACAATTACCCATCCATAAACAACGTCCCTTCCTTTGCTTTGATTTGAACAAGTAAAATCAGAATATTGTGGAATTAATTCTTGTAGAAATCACAGAGCCCAGAGCTTAAAATCTCATCAAACAATATAGATAGTTGGGACTTACCCAGACAAAGCTGAACGAAGCCCAAACGTTCTGTGACAAAATGAAGAGTTTGATTTCTGTGAACAGTGCCTGCGAGCGAGTGAGAGTGGGTGTGAGTTATTACCCAGTTCATAGAAACCCATAAACCCAAACCCAATTTCTGAGTAACCCCTAAACACTAAAACCCTAAACCAATTTCTTACAAATCCGTACACCATAAACCAAATTTCAAAGAAAAGGTATATGAAGAGTACCTCATGGATGTCAACGGTGGAGAGGATGAACAGCCACTGCTGAGGGAGAAAGACAATTGCGTCGGAGAGAGAGAGGTACACGAGGGAGAGAGACGGGCCGAAGAGATAGAGTAGAGAGAGAAGCCAATTTCTGAAAAATTGATATGGGTACAATAAGTGGACAATAATTATATATTTATATGTGATAGTTGTAAAAAAATTGGAAAGAAGTGGTATTTTTAGTTAAGATTATAAAATGGGTGGCATATACCGCTATTTCCCAAAAAAATAACAGAATACGAAAATTGCTAAATTTAATTATTTTTTGTCCTTTCCTTTCCGGAGAGGAGAGGGAAAGAAGACGTGTCGTTGTATTATTCATTACAGCCTTTAAAAAGGAATACTAGTAAACAGTATAAATAAATCGAACGACGCTCCTCCTTCGTTGTAAGATTTTAAGGTCAACATTGCACCTTCTCTCTTCAAACGAAGCACAGGGGTCGTTTTTGTCTGCCTTTCACTACGTCGTTTCGAGCTAGGGTTCCGCCTCCGATCCAACTGCTAAGGAAGTTCAACCCACCATGTCCACGCACTCAAAATCCAGTGTTTACATAGGTCAGTACACTGCTCCTTCAAATTTTTTTTAATTCTCTAGTAGCAGTTCCCCTTAAAGTTAGTAACTCGAAAACATCATTTCAAAAAATTAATTCTTTTCCATGCTTGTTTGATGGAAGCTGGTTTTTTTTTTGTCTTTTCCTCTTAGGAATTGGTTTTCATATATTATTTTCATTTTTTTTATATATAAAAAAAGTGTGTGTGGATAAGTATGTGCTTCTGGGTGCCAATGAGAATTTCAAGATTCAAAATTTAGTGTGAAAAGTGTTTCTGCTGAATGACTCTTGTATTGTAGGGAATTAAATTGTTATATCTATGATGAAGAATTAATTTTCAGAATAAATGGTAATGATTAATAAAACTAATCTAATAAATGGTAACATGTACTTTGCCCCTCTGCTTCTATCTTCATTAATTTTTTTCTGTTAATTATGTCTGTCACATCTAAGTTTATTATTTATTCTGTTATGATTATATGACATTTATTTTTAACAGGTAATTTGGACGAGCGAGTGAGTGAGAGAGTTTTGTATGATATTCTAATTCAGGCGGGGAGGTTAGTAGACCTACACATTCCTCGGGACAAGGAAACCGATAGACCTAAAGGTTATGCTTTTGCAGAGTATGAATCTGAGGACATTGCTGAGTATGCTGTTAGGCTTTTCTCTGGTCTTGTGACTCTCTACAATCGGACACTGAAGTTTGCGGTAATTTTTTTGCATTCCACTTGTTTGTCTCTCCACAAATGGTCTTCTATTTGTTTGGCCTGGGTTTGGGCCCTTTAACATTTATAGACACTGTGAGACTGTCTCCATTAATATTCTGGAATAGTGAGAATTCTGTCATTTCACCTGATGATTTATATTCTTGCTGTTATAACCCAATGACAGTGATGTTAGCTCATGTTATGTGGGGTGCCTTTCTGTGATTGGTGACAGACCAGCATTTGGAACTTTTTCGCTGTAGGCTATTACTGTTCTAAGTGAGACTCTTGACATTGATACATTTTTTTGGCTCACAGATTTCTGGGCGAGACAAGCCTTCACATAATACTCCTTCGACGGTCGCATCTGCATCTAGTTTTCCTCACAAACTGAGGTCGGCTCCCTCACCAATTAACAGTATGGAAATCTCTCCGAATTCCATTGGTTTATCAACTCCCAGAATTTCAGACTTTCCACTAAACTATCCCCCAGGTGATATGTTTGTTCTTTTCTTTTGTTTCATTTGCTTGATTTCATTGTTTTAATTTTAAAAAACTCAACATGCCATCATATTGGCTTTTTTTTTTCATGCTTGCTGAAACATTCTTTTTTTTATTCAGTGCCCACTCCCCCTGGTGTAAATAAACAATCTAATGGGTATGGATTACCTAACAATGGCAACAATTACGAATATAGTCGAAGAGTTATTGGGGCAACTTTGGATACCATTAGTCGCTCTAGGTCACGCCGCCATGATATGAGCAACCCAATCTCCTATCCCTCTTACTAGAATTTAATATGAAGGTGATTAGGTGTCAGACCTTTTCCATGGCTAATCTTTCTGGTAAAGTAGCAACTTAAGTGTATTACTGGTGTGAGTATTTAGTGGGTAGTGGAAGATTCTCTATTTGAGTAAGCTAGTTTGTATTGCTAGTATGTCCATTCATAGGTGTACCCAGGTATGTATATTTGTTGTGCTTCCTGTGTTTAGATTTGGCTAGTTGTAGTTTTGTTCATGTAGTTAATGTAGTTTCATTAATTAACAGTAAGATGCTTCTCTCAAGAGGCAGAACTTTGGAATTCAAAGAAACAAGTTTATCATATGATTGTTTATTTATGTACTCTATTTGGAATCATTATATCTTTTTTTGTCATAATTTTAATGTTTTTCATCTTTGTTCTGATTTCTTGTATGTAATTGTGGACATTTAAAGCAAAGCTTGATGGAGTTCCATTGAAATCATGAGACTGGTACACTTCATTTGTTGTGCTTATATATGCTCTCTCTATATGCATGTATGCCCAATATGTGTATGCGGTGATCCCATATTGTGTTCTTTTGTTAGTTTATATTTTCTTCATAGCTGTGTAACAACTCAATGAGATAAGTTTTGTGATATGCAAAGTAGGTACAAGTTGTCAGTTTGAACTTAGCATTCTCCATCCACTACCTAAGTCCAAGTTGAAATGGTTTATGCTTCTAGAAGCATAAAGTGATATGTATGACTTAGAGGAGTTGAATTTCCATTGTCATTATTTTGGCTATTAATATGGTCTAATATGGAGACTAGTATGGAGGCAGCATTTTGGTTAAAAGTTGCTCCACTATTTTGAGTGGGCTGCATTGTAAGCTTCTTGATGCTGTGGTAGTGGGTCTAGAGGTTATTGGTTGTGAGAAGTTCTATTTTTGAAATGGTGTAATTAGTGAAACTTCTACCAAGCCTCTAGGTCTAGAAGGGGCTTCCTGGTTAAATAGGATTCGTTTTTTTATCTTATATATAAACTACATTATTTTTGGAAACAATAATTACATAAAGTCTAAAACAACGTACAATAGAAAATCCAGGCTCTAATACATGCTCTATGTGTGTTGTTACGTATGTATGTCAAAGACGACAGTCCCAAGAGTCGAGCGGTAGATTTTTAAGTTAAAAACATTCGAACTTTGGGTTCATTGTTTAAAGGATAAAGAGAGAAGAGGGGTTGAAATAATGGGGGTAGAACATTGCAATGTTAATTGCATTGGTCCGATCATGGTGGTTTGATTTGGTCATTTGTGATCAAGCCTAGACTGTGTTTGATATTACCCTATTTAGGGTTTAATTATGTTTTAAGATATACTGTCATTTCATTTGTTACATTGAATGTTTAACTTAATGCAATCTACTTTTTAATTAATTGTGTTAGTCTTGTAATATAGTTCTATATTTCTTCGATCAAGACTACATACATTTTATCAACATTGCTCATTGAATATGAAAGGAGCATCACATGTGCCCTTTCCTGTTTTATTTTCATTTAGTGGACTATCTTACTTTTCTTGGTCTATTTATTTTTTTAACTTTTGGTTTCGTCAGGCGGAGCTTTGATTGAGATTTTCTTGGGTTTTTTATTGTATGAATATGAATTTCATGCTCATTCAAATATAGAAATGACCTCTTTCCTTTGAGTACTGCTAAATAGACCAACTTTTGGGACCACATTATGTGACAGGTGATGTGTGTATTAGTGGTATATTAACAGATGTGATAATAATCAATTCCTACATGTTACATAATGTCATCTAGATATGTGGTTTGTCGGTGTATACAAATGCAACGGTGGTGCTCTCTTGTGCTCGTTGAAGATTGATCAAGCGATTGCATGCGGTAAAAATCTGATTTGGTGTGCACATGCATTTCTTCTTTATCAAGATATGATTTGGTATTAAGGTTTTGCATGTGCACACCAAATCTGATTTGTACTGGAAGATTGATCAAACGTTTATTTAGTTTCTCAGTGTACTAGTTGTGCGCATGAATTTCTTCTTTATCAGGATATGATTAAGTAGAATGGTAAAGGAGCATGTCTTCTGCACGTGTATAATATGTGCACACTTATCTCACACTAGGAGAAATATATTTTCACATACAATGCTCCTCTCATATAAATGGTTATGTGATCAGCACATGATGAGGCAGTGACAATGTTTTCTTTTTATTTTGGTATTTATGGAAATCTGTTAGTAGAAATAAAGATAATGTCAAGTGAAGTGGCAGGGTATCTATGAGTTGAAAGATATCATGTGTTATAAGTTTTTAGCTTTAATTTATAGATTGTATAACACATGGTATTTCTTAACTGGACAATGTATGTCGCTCATCCTATGCATGGGAGGAACACGACATTAAGCTTCTCTCTAAATTTCCCTAAACCAAAAAATCAATAATTTCCTTGTCAATTCGGTGATCCCAAATAGTTTTGTTCCATTGGTATGGTAATGGTCTCAAAATTGCTGTTGCAAGCTTTGGATTTTGGAATTTTTGTTCGGTTTATTGGCTTAGGGGCTAGTAGTTCTTCATATTCAGAGCCAATAAAGAAAAAGATGATTCACCTCTTATTTCTCTCTTTCATATGTTTCTTCAAACCCTTGAACAGAAGAAGTTGAAAATTAAAAGCAGAAATTTTGTGGATGCCTTAAAAGTACTTTGTGGTTATGCGCATGGCAGGGAAAGTAAGTACTGAACATGTATGTTATATTGAACTTGCTGTGGTGCAGGTTCTCCGTGATGGTTTCTTATGTTACTCGGAAAACAAAGAAATTAAAAACAAAACTGATCTTCATGCTCCCAAGAGATCAAATTCATCCTTTTTGTTATTCTGACCAGAATTCTATATTTTTTTTCTCCTTTCTTGTATAATAAAGAAGTTGATAAAACATTAAGATGACCCGTCAATATGGAGGAAAGGGGAAAACAATGATTTAATTGTGGATTGGTATCCTTTTCTCAAATCCCACAAGTTCCAACTAGCAAGCGAAATGCACAACCTAGCATGGGTAAGAAATGGAACATGCATCTATAAATCAATTCTGGACAATTATGAATTGTACAATGTATGGGCTGGGAGACCAGGCATCCATCATAATCCATCCCCCTAATTGGCTAATCAAAACTATATCGTCCTAATAAACTCGTACCCTATGGTGGTGAGGATGGCAATCCTAATCCTCAAGGGTGGCAGAGGGAGTATTGGGCATTAAGAGCAATTCCACCCATTTGCCTTTGCCATGGCAAGGGGGGAGCTAGGGTAGCCACTATTCACGTGAATAGTGGTTGCCCTTGTAAATAGTATTTTGTGTTTTCACCTGTTGTTATGGCTAAGGGCAATTACTATTCATTTTTTTGTTTTTTTCACAAATTTTTTTACCTCAATAATTAATTTGGATAAAATTTTTTAAAAAGATTTTTGGTGTGGGTAGTGAAAAATATGACTAAGTATTTATTTAAAAAAAATCTGAATTTTTTTGTTTTTGTTTTCGATTTTTTTTTAAAAAAATTTGTTGCTGACGTCATCTATAAATCAATTCTGGACAATTATGAATTGTACAATGTATGGGCTGGGAGACCAGGCATCCATCATAATCCATCCCCCTAATTGGCTAATCAAAACTATATCGTCCTAATAAACTCGTACCCTATGGTGGTGAGGATGGCAATCCTAATCCTAAAGGGTGGCAGAGGGAGTATTGGGCATTAAGAGGTAGACCCATATGCATGCATATTGCTGCCCGGAGTTTGATCGGGAGTTAGAGAAGGATAACAGCATCAGATTCGGGGTTCTATAAATCATTTCTAGACAATTATGAATTGTACAATGTATGGGCTGGGAGACCAGGCATCCATCATAATCCATCCCCCTAATTGACTAATCAAAACTATATCGTCCTAATAAACTCGTACCCTATGGTGGTGAGGATGGCAATCCTAATCCTCAAGGGTGGCAGAGGGAGTATTGGGCATTAAGAGCAATTCCACCCATTTGCCTTTGCCATGGCAAGGGGGGAGCTAGGGTAGCCACTATTCACGTGAATAGTGGTTGCCCTTGTAAATAGTATTTTGTGTTTTCACCTGTTGTTATGGCTAAGGGCAATTACTATTCATTTTTTTGTTTTTTTCACAAATTTTTTTACCTCAATAATTAATTTGGATAAAATTTTTTAAAAAGATTTTTGGTGTGGGTAGTGAAAAATATGACTAAGTATTTATTTAAAAAAAATCTGAATTTTTTTGTTTTTGTTTTCGATTTTTTTTTAAAAAAATTTGTTGCTGACGTCATCAATGACGTCAGCAACCCTCGTTTTGGATCTGGGACTGAATCTGCCTTCAGGCCAGCCCGACTTGCTGGGACCCACAGCCTGCCCGGGCTTGGGCTCACCGCTGGAAGCTGTTTTTTTTGTTTTTCTCCCCCCAGACCAAGGCTAGGGGAACCACTGGAGTCGCTCTAAGAGGTAGACCCATATGCATGCATATTGCTGCCCGGAGTTTGATCGGGAGTTAGAGAAGGATAACAGCATCAGATTCGGGTTCCAGTATCTTGTTTGAAGGACCCAAGGAGCTTATGGCTGGCCCCGAGAGGAAGGTAATATGTTTATATAATTTGGGGTTTCGGGGCTTGTATTAGCTATGTTGGCTATGGTTGTTTCAGGGTTTGGCCAAAAAAACACAAATTTACTTGTTTGTTTAGAAAAGAGAAATACTTTCCTTCACTATTGAAATCCATACTAAGGTATTTATTTCCCTGTGATTTGTAGGGTTTGTCAAACGGCTCGATACAGTTCGAGTTTGAGTTTGACTCATTTTCGGCTGCTTCGAGCTCAATTTATAGAGAAATGAACTGAGCTCAAACAAAATATTGGGCTCGTTTTACAACCATTTTCCTTGTTAAAATTTGAAATAGTTGCTTAAAAGTGGTAGCGTGATGTGATCTTCCCTTTCTTTCGAATGCATTATGCAACGTTGTAATTCTAACTCTTGGACCGCACATGTAAATCCAAAAGCTTTCATTTTTGACACATAACCTGCTCTTTGTGAGCCTACAGTCATCTACTTACCAAATCATACTAAAAAAGAAGAAAACACATAGAAAATAAGTATCCCGTCCATTTTATGGTTGGGATAATCAGAGATAATTATCTACAATATAACCCACTCCTATCTGAGTTTTGAGGTGTCTCCAATCCAATCAACTTTCGTAGCTCCCAGCAAAGTATGCCAAGGGTCCAACAATAGCACCATTTATGTAGGTTGCAGGTTCTGAATGACTATAGTCGCTGCGGTCATCTGGGAACCCATCATTCTGATTTGGACCTCCCACAATGGCTCCAACCAAGATGTTAGGATTTGGGTTTGCTGAATAGTAGAATGGTTCGAAACCACCATCACAACCTATGTTCTGTGGGTGGCTTGCCTTTGAAGGCAACGAAGATCCTCTGTGGTGAATTCTCTTGGGAAAATAGGGTCCATAGCCTACCATGTACGACATCTTCAGAGGGTTTACCCCTAATATGTAGTCCACCTAAAATTTCAATTCAAATCAGTCATCTATAAATCATAAACGTATACTTATGTTGTCAGACTGTGAAGTGGTATAGATCCACGGTCTAGTTTTGCTGCACAGTATAAAGTGATATACCTGTTGTTTGGCCAGGGCTTTTAAGGCTCTCGGAGTGACAACGAAGCTGCCGCAGTTAAATGTTTGCTTTCTAGCAGCCATGTACTTTGAGTAGGTAGTAAGCAAGAATGTTATTGAGGTTACATATTGGAGGTTACTTCCAGGCAGCTTGTATAGGAGTCCTCCTTGTGTATATTGTGTACTTGAAGAGGGTGAGTTTGGAAAAATCCGGCACATAAATTGCTCAGCTTCTTGTTTAAATGGCTCAAAGTTCCTGTCGTTGCTCAACAATGCCCTCTGAAAAGTAAACCAGATTCCAATATTGAATACATTTATAATTAAAGAAAATGAAAAAGGATGGAAAAAGTTTGATAATAGGCATGCAATTTTACCCTTGATAATAGAACATAAGCACCAGCAAATTTGTTGTCCCAGCTGAAGATGTCTGTTGAATCACTAGCTCCCAAGGATTTCAAAAAATTGAAGTAATAAACATCATTTGTTGCTCTAAGAAGCCATGCAGCTCCCCACAAAAGCTCATCCTGAAATTTTGTACCAAATTGGAGAGCTCAGTAAATAAATCGTTAACATTTATATTTTCTACTTTCCCTCTTAAAATTGATACATGTAGAAATTATTAGCAACAATATACCTTATATCCAGAATATGAGCAATAAAACGGGCAGACTGCAGATCCAAGGGAATCACTGTAAGCCCCTTGGTACCGCATCGCAAATTGCATTACTTCCTTGGCCGTGCTCAGCAGCAACTTGGAATATTTTGGGTCAACCCTCCGAAAAACCATAGAAGCAGCCGCTAATGCAGCGGCCGTCTCTCCAGCAACATCCGAGCCCGGATTGCTTTGTGAGACCGAATACACGGTTCGGACCGTGTCCATGTCTTCGGGCCTCTCCCAACACTTGTGGTCTACATTGGGGTCACCAACTCCAACGTAGAGCCTACCGGGAGTGACTCGAGCGCACTTTAAAAGGTAGTCCGTGGCCCATCGGATTGCAGCCCGAGCATCTGATAATTGGGGGCCCATGCGCTTGCCATATTCAAGCGTGCCCCATGATAGCATTGTTGTGGTGAAGGCCATTGGGAAGTTAAATTTGACATTGTCTCCAGCATCATAGTATCCTCCAGTTAAGTCCACCTGCAAAATTGAAACAAGAGTTATTTCATGCAGGTAAAAACAAACATTAGATGAAGATTCATGCTAGAAAAAATATGCAAACATATGCAGAGGGACCCAAACCAACTCTTTTTATTTATTTATTTCCTTTCCTTTAAGAAATCATTTTGAGCTCCTCCCAACTTTTGACCACGCTTGTAGCAAAATAAAAACTTAAACTATAACCTTTCTTCTTTCTTGGGATATGCAGAAAGTAAGCTCATATAAATATGAATAATCCCTATGAAGAACATGGACAGATATCACCAAAGATTGTATTCCAAGTCAAAAGCTTTTATTTGAACTTCTATTTTTCTTTCCTTCGTTCATATTATATATGCGTAGCATCTTTGAGAATATAGCAAAAGCAAGCATTACCTACCAATACAGTAAATTTTCAATTAAAGAAGTTTAACAAAAACCCAAAAAAGAAGAAGAAAAAAACCGTTATG